GGCTTAAACAACAAATATTTCTCTCAATTCTGGAAGCTGAAAGTCCAAGATCAAAGCACTAGTAGAGATGGCGTCTGGGGACAGCCTGATTCCTGGCTTGAAGACAGCCACCCTCTTACTGTATCCTCACAAGGGGAAGAGGCGTGAGGTCTTTTGTGTCTCTTCTTATGAAGGCACTAGTCTCTTCATCAGGGCTCCACTCTCATGACCTAATTACCTCCCAAAGGCCCTGTCTCCAAATACCATCCCACTGGCGATTAGGGTTTCAAGGTATGAATTCTGGGGGGGGGGGGGGCACAAACAATTGACACATAAACATCTCCAGACTAAGCCAGTCCACAAATGCCATTCCCTTGTTAACACACAAGACTCCATAATGCCATCCAGGGTGAATCAGAGGCTTCTGCCTTTTCTCCCTCTGGAGTCAACCCATGGAGAGCTTCCCCAGTGTGTCCACAGGAACAGGAAGAACCAGAGAGGAAGGGAGGGAGATTAGGTCCAAGTGACACTAGTGGCTTCAGCCCTTCTGTCTGGCTGTGCCTGGCCTTTCATCAGTCACATCTCCTTTTTTTGTTTTGTTTTATTTTTCTTTCTCCATCCCAAGGTCCACGTACAGCACTTACACCAGAGCCTGGCACCTAGCCAGCGCTCACATGGCAGCATCACTATATAAGCTACCTCGAATTAGGTTTTCTGTCATTGGCAACACAAGAGCCTGAACAAAACGGTGACCTGTTATTGCTACCACACCATGCCGTAGTCACAATTTCTCCCAAGAAGGTTAAAACTTTATGTGTACTCAGACATCTCAGTTAGATGGAAACCATCTAGACACCTGTTCCGATGCCCGAGACCAAGCGCCCAGAAGCCGGCTCCCCTCCCCCCTCCTCCGATCCCTGCAAAGCCGCGCACCCAGGCACCTCCCTACCTGGCCCCTCTCCTCGCCTGCGGCCCAGAGAACACTGCCTGCTCCGGCAGGTGGACCTGGGGGCGGCGGGCGGTCTGCAGGCCCGCCTCGGTCCCGGGAGCGCGGGCAGCTCGCCCCACAACCGCACCCCCGAAGCTCAACTTCTTCGAGACCCCGGAAGTGGGCGGGTGCGCGACCCAGCCGAGACCCCAAAGCCGGCTGGTGACGTAGCGTGCCGCAGCCAATCGCGCGCCTCCTGCGTTTGCGTTATTGCGAGGCCGGCCAATGGGCGCGGGCCTGCCTGCCGCTTCCTGCCCACAGGCTCGCCGGCCCCGGGGGAGAGCCTGCTCGCTCTGCCGGCCTCAGAGGCGCAATCGCCGCGACCCCGCCCTCCGGGCGCCGGCCCAGGTGAGTGCAGCGGCGGCCGGGAGGTGGGACGGGCGCCCCCGCCCCTCCGGACAGGTTGGGGCGGCGGAGGCGGCAGCAGCGTTTGCCCCACGCGCGGCGAGGTGGGAAGGGGCTGTGCCAGTGCTTTCCTGCACACCCGGCGGGGCGCCGTCCCCGGACCCCCACCCCGACCCCTGAACGTGACACCCCCACCAGCCTTTGCGCTGGAGTGACTTGGGAAGTGATTGGCGGGTGTAGGGGATCGAGCTGCGAGGAGCCCGTCTGTCCCTCCTCTGGGCAGTGGTGAGAGCAAAGCTGCTTGGCGTGGGATTAGCTCAGGCAGATGGTCAGGGCTCGGCGCTGAGATGCTACTGGTGGCCGGGCAGGGGACCCACCTGTCGCCCAAGGGCACGGAACCTGAACGAAACCAGGCCGACCGCCCAGATGATGGGAGCCGGGGGTTCATCTTCAGAGCTGCCGGCTCAGGGCACCTCCTTTCCTGTGGGAATGGAAGGACTCAACTAGCGTGCGTGTTCCGCTGTTTTCTCCCACCTCTTGAGACCCTGATGTCGCCTTCCAGCAGCTCCCACAACTGGCGGGCAGTGAGCTGCTTTAGTAGCCAGGGTTTTCTCTGTTTGTTCAGGGGGTGGGTGTGACAGGGTGTAATAAAAAGAAAAAAAAAAAAAAAAACCGCAGGAAATCTTGGGCAGGAAGCAGTCCTAAGGTGGCCTGGGAAGTAAATGCTCTAGGCACTCCCTTGGGACCGTGTCCCTCGCTGTACCGCACCCCACGCTACTCCCTCGACCCCCACCTTCCCTTGGGTACCTTTACATCTCTGAAGGGATCTGTTAATTAACCTGAGCAGAAAGGTAGGTGACTCTGCGGGTGGTGAGCCGGCCTACTGAGAAGAATGACTGAAGGTCCACCTGGAATTCATTGTGCAGAAGTTCTTGGTGAATCAGAGGTTGCTTTCTCGGAAGATGTTGCCTCCCTCACTCCACCCCTAGAAAACAAAGAGATCCCAGGATCCCAGAATCCTGGAACTTAATGCTCCAACCTCCCGTTCAAGAGTCCTCTGATCCAGTGACCCCATGTCCCTGGACAGGTTACCCCATCACCTCACAGCCAGGAAGTGGCTTGGGAGATCTTGGGACTACATCCTGGCTGGCATGGAAAGGAGGTGCGGCTGACCAAGGATGTCTACCTCGTGTCATCTTTAGGTGGGAAGTGACGGGTACCGGGATTTCCACACCAAAGGGAATTTGCAAACATAACCCCCCCATCTCTTCTCTGCAGTAGAGTCTTCTGGTAGTTGCCCAGAAGGCTGAAAGTACGTCTATCTGCTTAGTCATTTCTCTGGAGGAAAGTGTATCCAAGTTCAACATCACCATTCATTGAGCTCAACATGCAGACTGAGCCTGACTTAACTGGCTACTTGTACAGTGACCTGTGAGCCAAAAAATATCTTTGAAGACTATTTATATTAAAATGTCACCATGGGAACCGACATCTCCCCTCCCCCCATGTAAAAATCTTACTTTTTTCCCCCAACAATTTATGATAAGGATTGGCAAACATACAGCCAAGTTGAAAGAATTATACAGTAAACACCCACACACCCACCACCCAGATTCTACTATTGACAGTTTACCATACTTGCTTTATCACCTATCTATCCACCTCCTAGTACCTTACTTTTAACCTTAAGTAACTGGTGACATTCAGCTTCCCTGGAGCCATATTTCCGTCTCTTAGCTCAGGGAGTGGTGGTGTGGTGAATGTAGGTGGCGGTGATTTTCCATAACTTTGAACAAACACCCACTTTGTGCAGAGCACTGGGAGATGCAGAGGAAATGAAGAGGCCGAAGACTCAGGCTGACCAGAAAGGGCTTTTGAGTTTTTTGTTTTTAAGAGATAGAAGATGAGTGGCAGCTTGTGAGAGCAAATGGCAAGTAATCAAATGACTTCAGTAACACTCATTGAGTTCTTGCTGGGGTACTGGGCACTTTATTGTAACTCTGTGCCTGTGTTATCTCATTCAGTTCTCACGACAACCACATAACTGGATTAGTCTTCCTTTCTTCCTTTTACAGATTAGGAAATCGAGGCACAGAGAGATTAGTCAGTATTGGGCTTTTGTTCATGCTAGAAAGTGGTGGGGCCGGGATGGTGTGGGTCCGGTGTGGCTCTGGGCACTCTTAGTCACGGCATAGATGCCCCGGGGGGGAGAGCGGACCCTCAGGCCTGCCCAGGGAGGAGTGGAGGGGCATCTGGGGGTGCCACAGCTCTTGCAGGGGTCCCATCTCAGGCACCCAGATACAGATGCCGGTTTTCAAATGGCTTCAGGAGGCTAGCGTCCTGACTTCCCATGTGTTTGACCTGGGCGTTGGGGCCCCGGGTGGAGGGATCAAGCTCCTCCACTCTGCCAGTCAGGGTCCCCCACC